TGCTTGTCCTATGTCTCATCCTTCAGGCTTAGTTTTAAAAATACCAAATTAAGAAAATTGAACTTTATCATATGGGTATTGGGGAAAGGAGGTTATTTAAAAATCATGAGTTAGAATGATGTCCAGATGAACATAACAACAACATGACTTGCAGTGGCCTAAACAAACAAAGGGTTTTTTTCCCCCATATAAGCAAGGAATCTTGTTTATATGAGAAGCAGTGGCATTTGTTCAGCTGTTCAGTGACGTCAGGAGCAACAACTTGGTCTTTCCCTCATGGTTGCAAAATGGCTGCTGCAGCTCCTTTGTAACCACATTCAAGTCAATAAGGAAGAAGGACAAGTGACACCAGCCATGATTTTCTCTTTTAACAGGCAATGACAAACTTACCCAGAAACCACTTTCACTTATTTTTCACTGGTTATAACTGTGACTCCCTTCCCTAAAGCAAGAAGAGAAAAGAAAGGATTTAGTTTTTTCCAGATTTCATCATGCAAGGCAGTAAGAATTGTTAGAGTTCTTGAGCTAGAGTATAATATTGTCACAGAGGTGTCTTAAAGTACAGCCTGGGGACAATGGAAAAGTGGAGGAAAGAATTAGAAATGGAGATGAGTTAAGAGGCAATTGCTATCAGTCAGTGGAATAAAGATCTGGATTAGACTGAAGACAGCAGAAATAATAAAGAGCTTAGTTTAAGGGGCATGTGTGCTCATAGCTATAGGCATAGATAAGTGTTTCTGTGCTTTCATGTAAATATGTATCATTTTTACAAGGATAGAGAAATTTATGTAAATAGATCTGCATACTTACTGAGCCCCAACTTTGTGCAAGGCTATGTGTCAGGCACGATAGGGAACATGAGTCAGGCACAAATCCTATCCTCAAGGACCTTACAGATTATAGAGAAATACATGTCCCAGACAGTTAAAATGCAAGTTAGTAAGATAGTAACTATCATATAGTTATGACAGTTTAAAAGAGGAAGTCGTCACCTTAGCTGGAGAGATAAGGGGAAAAGTGACATTTAAACTTGGTCTTAAAGAATTAATAGGATGAAGGGGAAGGAACACAGGCAGGGGGCAACTGACAATGGAACATTCTTAGCTAACTGGCTAGAAGGGAAGGTGAAAAATAAGCCTGAAGAAAGCTGATCTAAAGAATTTAGATTTTATTCTGTAGACTACAATCTATCGGACTCCTACCAAGGGTAAGGTACTATGCTAGATGCTAAATTTCTACATATGATTATGTATCTGGTTTACCACATATGTGTGCCTGTTTCTGAACACATGTATTTCACAGAGCTGTCTCCCTGTTTAATAGGTGATCTTGGTGTGTATATTTACACTTAATGCTATATGCCTACATAGAGCCAGCAGGTGGCGCCACGAAATCATGCCTAGCAAGGACAAATTTGCCTCTTCCAGCCAGGTAGACCCTATCTCTTAGACCCTGTCAGGCCAAGGAGCCATCCCAAGGCCCTTGTAGGGGCTGGGAATTAGCTTACCTATTTCCATCATTAGCGTTATTCACCACTCTATTCCCATGCGTAGCACAGAACCTACCAATATGAAATGCTCAGTAAATATTTAGTGAATAAATTGATGAAATGATTGCGTGCTCAACCGGAGAAGAGAGTTAAGGAGGGTCAGGGGAAGTACAAAGAAGGTGGCCAGCAGTAAAGACTTCACAGGAAGTCATACTAATAGAAGTGACAGAAGGTCCACAGGGGAATATGTGACAGAACAGTAAACTCGGTTGTCGCTGTTACCCCTAAGGCTTCTGCTCCTTGTAAGGTGGTATCTGACCCTAATCCTTTGCTTTGGCTTTTATTTAGTGCCCAGTGAGTACTAGGACCTGTGGGAAATACCACCTCTGCTCTCTAGCAGTTTACAATCTAGGGAAATAGATAAAGTTTTGTTTTGTTTTGTTTTGTTTTGTTGTTTTGTTTTTAAATAACAACCAATGCAATTTTCTCTCTGCCTATTGCTAAGAAAGTTCCTTCCTGCCCTCTGGGAGAAGTGATCTGTCAAGGAAAGAGCTGCAGAGCTAGATGGTCCAGCTGGGTCTATTCAGCGACCTTTTGATCCAGACACCTCTTCACCCAATGCCCCTCTGATCTCAATGGGACCAGTTGAGGTCAGCTGCCCATATGAGGAGCTGGGAATACAGAACCCTTTAAGGGTCTGGTTGGGTTTCCATGGATGGGTCCATCTGTTTCCCCCTCCCCCAGTCCTCCCCATTGCCTCACTTCTTTATCTGAGGGGTTAGCAACATGATTATCATGACACTGATGGTCAGGGCCTCCTCCTGGTGCTCTGAGGACCACCACAAATGCCTCCGCCTGACACTCAGGCCCCTCTACAAAGTGGACCCCACCTCTTGTTGCAGCCATTCCTCCCATTACTCCTTTGCACCCACTTCCACCCTACACTCTTTGGGCCCTAGATGTGCTCACTCTTTCTCTCCCCTGCACATTTGCTGATTCAGTTCCTTGGCTCTGGAATGTCCTTCTTTCCCATCTCCACCTGGCAAATGCCCACTGGCTTTTCAAGGCCCACTTCAAATGCCAGCTTCTTCCTGAGGCTTTTTGTGCCAACCTGATGTGGCCTCTCCCTCCTCTCTTGGCAACTATTATCAGCTTCATCCTCTTAATGCTTTATTACTTGAATGCCAATTCCTTCTACTCAAGTTAAGCTCTGCAGGGGACAAATTTGTCTCTTATTCACCCAGTACCTAGCAACTTGTTTTACATGTAGTAGTTGCTCACTAAATGCAGGGGAGGCAATACAGCCAAGGGTGTTTGCTATACCTCAATCCAAGAGACATGGGCCCAAGAAACCGCAAGCTCTACGGGACAAATGATAAAGATGCTCTCTCCACAAGGAGATGAAAATAACATTGAGCACCTACTAGGTACCTTCTGGCCCCGTCCCAATCCCCATCCGGCTCCTGACCTCCTCAATTCTTAAGGACATACCACTTTTAAAATATTTCCACTTCACCACCCCCCTCCTCTGCCACGCCTTTCTCCCTTTCCCTTCCTTTCTTTCCCCTACTCTTTTATAAACCCCTGCAGCCTCCTGTCCGCAAAACCCTGGTGAGAAACTAAAAAGGGCCAAGGGAAGAACCCACCCTCTTCTAAGTACTGAGACAAGGAAGTGATGATCAAGGGTCACTGCCTTGGTCAGTTCCTGTTTCTGGAGCAAAGATGCCAAACTCTGTTCCTTTTTCTTGTGAAAAAAATGTAGAGGTTTGCATTTCCAAAGTTCCCAAAACCAGTATGTCACTGTGAGCTGTCTGCATTTCTGTGCAGGGTCTGCCAAGGCTTCCTGGGCCTGCTCCTCATGGGAGACTGTCCAGGGGCAGCCTGGGAAATGACACCTCATTCCCTACCCCTCCCCACTTACACCACCACCCACCAGGCCCATCTGTGGAGGGGTAATGCCTCTCCTCAGGCCTGCCTCAGGCTCCTATTTCCTAGCAGGACCTCTCAGAAACCCCTGCAGAGGGTAGAAATTATAGCTGATAACTTGGACTCAGAAGTGATGTGAATCAGTTTGGGAAACTCTCTCCCTCCCTTGCTTCCAAGCTTGGAGCCATCCCATTCCAGGGGCAAGCAGACACAGCTACCACCCTTCTGGCTCTCCACCCTCGGTACCCCAGACCTATTTGGAACAGATGGACAGCGCCACTTCATGCGGTATCAGACCCTCCTGAGCCCTGAGCCAAGAAAGGAGGGCCAACCTGGCAAGTACTGGAGGTAGGAAAACAGGCATATATCAGCTAAGCCAAACTCGGAGGCTAATGCCAGCATAAGACGGAGAGAGAGAATGGGCACTGGGATTAAAGTTAGGATCAAGATGCGAAGGTCAGAGTGGTCTTGGAGAAGTTAATGGTGCTAGGCCCTCTGGACTGGGCCCACCTTGGGGTGGCAGGTAAGAGAAGGCAGGACAGGGCCTAGGCAACAGGTTCTCTGTATATGCAGGAAGCAAAGCTTAGAATTTTCTAGCAGGATCCACATCTGGCCTGCTTCTCCTTTGGTCTCTGTTTCAGTCTTTACTGTGCCCACCCAGTTCATTCCTCTTTCATTCATTCATTCATTCATCAAACATTTAAATAGTGTCTTTACTATAAGGCAAGCACCAGAGTAAACAGTGAGTCCACAAAGATATGTAAGATTTCATCAGTCTTTGACCTTGTGGAGCTATTGTCTAACTGAAGAGAGAAATTTATAAGCAAATATTCACAATCCAGTATGAAAGGTGAAATACTACAGGACATGGCAGCAGATGGAGGGAGTAGAAGACAATGGGAGTCAAGGAAGAATTCAGAGAGAACAGAGGGTATTTGAGCTGAAAGCTCAGTAGGACTCACCAGCCAGAGAAGGGAAGGGAGGGCCTTCCAGGGTGATGAAACCAACAGCTGGAGAGGGTAAGCACAAAAGCCCTCAGTGTGAGAGTTCCCGGGTGTAGGGGCAGAAGGTAAAGGCCCCTCCAAATGCTATTCTTGACTGGACCAGGCACTCCAATGAAGTAGATACATAGAGAGGAGAGAAATCCTGAGTCAACCAGCACTTATTCAAGCCCCGGGGCTACCTTCCTAGAAGAGGTTACCTGGACCCCCACCTCACCTCTCCCCCAAACTGTTTTTGTTCTGTCCAAGGAAAGCAGGAATCTTTGGCAGGCTCAGCTGACCACAAGAAGTTTTCCAATCCCCTCCTCATGCCTTCGCACTCTGGAAAATTCTGAGACATCTCGTTATTCAGGCCAGGTCACCTCTCAGGTTCTCTCTCTACTACTCTGCATCCCTGCCCCAAGTCCCTCACACTATACCACCTGGTGGCTGACACCTCCCGACGGGTCTGCCTCTCCCACCGAGCCACCTCCCTGCCGTGCTCTCAACACCTGGAGTAAAGAAAGGCCTGCACTGCAAGCCAGGAAGGCAGGCCTAGAACACTGGGAGACATCAGCGGCCAGGGCTGCAGGACCACTCCCCAGATGAGCCAGAGCCAGGTTAAGGGGGAGGAGGCCGGACTGGGCCAGGCAGTCTCTCCAGGGACGAGCCTGTGTCCCTTCACGTGCTCGGGAGCGGGAGCCTTGCTCCCGCCGCAGGTGCGGGGAGCTGGGAGCCCGACAGCCCTCGCCAGCTCCCCGCAGCGGCTGCGCACGGTCCCTCGGTGCCTGCCCGCCCCGCCCGCCCGGAGGCCTGAGCGAGGCGACGCGGGAGGAATTCGAGCCATTTCCTCTGCGACGCGCGGTATGTGGCCTGCTCGCTGCCCGACCACAGCGCGGCCGGGAGGTGGGGGCCGGGCGGCGCGGGCCAGTCGCCAGCCGCGCCTGGCAGCTGCCGGGGCCTCACTGCCCTGCTCGGGATTCCCGGGCGGCCTTTCCCGCAGTGGGGGCCTGTGCGGCGCCCCCGGACGCCGGCTCCTCCCGGCGCGGCCGCAGCCAGAACCTGTCCCCGCCCTGCCCTCATCCCGCACCCCCGCCTCCCCTCTCCCCGCCTTGCAGACCGTTGGGGGTCCCCAGAATCTTGAGTTTGAAGTTGGCCCTTGCTCCGTCACATTGAGGCAAGTCCCTTCTCCTTTCTAAGCCTCAGTTTCTCCATCTGTGAAATGGTGGGCCTAAAAACAGTGTTGCCTCGTTTGGGCTGAGTGTAATTGAGAAAAGGAGCTTGTTGGACAGATGTCAACGATGTTTTTGTTTCTCTAGGCACCGATGCTGTCCTTAGTTTTCCTAGATCTTCCCGCCTACCATGCCCACGGCCTCTTCTCCACTCTAACTTGCGGGAGGAGCAGCTGTACAGGTAGGCACAGTAGCAGGTGGCCGCCCCCTGCCCCGGCCTCCCCTAAACTGCCCCCTCTTATATAAAAAAAAAAAATGCCTAAAGATCTGATGGTAGTCTTTGTTGGGAGTATTTGCCTTCAAGGTTCTTGAAAAGCCTAAAGACAGTTATTTACATTTTTGAAATGATGTCATCCCAGTCTGAGAGCAGCCAGACACGCACGGATTAGGGAAAGCTGAGATGCGGCCCGAATAATAGGTGCTCAAACTTGGATTCTAGTTTTGCAGCTCTGAACAAAGGATGCGTGCTCTCTGGGTTCCTCTTTCAAAGTGCAGGCTCCCCGGGAGAGAAGACATTCTTTCAGCCTTTAACCGTTTGGAGGCGCGGAGAGGAAATGCAGAGCCAGAGCCCCAGGTGACTGAACGTGTGCTATCCACTTCCCCCACCGCCCAACACCTGCCTCACTGCACCCACGGCTGCCGTAAATATCACTAGGTGGGGTTGGAAAGCCCCGGGTTTCACCAGGCCTGCCCACCGACTGCTTTGCAGATGCAGCACAGAAGAGCTGCTCTGCCTCAGTGTTCTCCAGATGGCCCCTTGTTTTGATTTTGTAACTTCTATTCCAGCCAGAGCCCTACAGCTAAGAATCAGCCCTTGCAGGAAGATGGGCCCCCGTCATTCCCTACACACACTACAGCCACAGACTGCATAAATCCAGGTGGAGACAGGTCCAGAAACACAGGTGCTATAAATAACCTAGTGTACCCACGAGAGTGAGCTCTCAGTCAGGCCCCTTCCCACTCGCCCTCCTCAGAGCCCACCACTTTTGGCCAAGGGGCTCTGCAGGCCCGTCTCCCTCTGTGGGAGGAGCATACTTCCTCTGTTACCAGAGAGGCTTGGCTTCCGAACCCAGTACTGCCCAATCCAAGGAGTTCCCTCTACTGAGGATAAACTCCCAGTGGCAGAATGCTCCCTCTCTGTCCTGGTATTTTTAGGCTTCTCCCAGGAAGCCCAGGCTGTAGCAGGTCTTCAAGACGGATGACTCCTGTTTCAAGATTGATGAGGGATGCTGCCCATGGTTAGAAAGCAACAACCTAAATCAGATTTTAAAACTTAAAATACGATTCTAAATTTTTGGCAGCACCTTTTGTTCAAGGAGTTAAAAAAAAAAAAAAGGTTGGAGACAGGAGAGGGGAAAGAAGAAGCTGAAAATATATGCAAAGAGGAGATAAAGCCCCACTAGAAAAGAGAGTTGCTTTCCCAGCAGGCTGATCCCCAGGAGGTTCGTGGGACTTTCTGAGCCAATCCTGAACCTGGCACTTGGAGTGCAGCTCCTTGAAGAAATCCACCACTGGGGACTAAGGGACTCAGACACAGAAATCATCCCCAGGAAACTCAGAAACCTGATGATTTGGAGAGAGGGTAGCAAGAGCAAGGCAGGTTTGAAGTTGTGAGTGAAAGAGATCTGAACCACCAATTTTCAAGTGTGGCTGTAAAAATTAGCTTTAACCAGATAAATCCCTGTTTGAAACATAGAAGGCAGTCCCTCTAAAAATGAAGTCACATCGTTTTCCAGTGTGGGAGCTTACTCTACAGTCACTGTGCAAGCACTTTGCAAACTCAATCTCAATGAATCCTACTTAGGATGCACTAGTAATTCCCCATATTCCAGATGAGGAAACTGAGGTCAGGGAGGCTAATTAACTAGCCAAAGGACACCCAGCTAATAGAGGACAGGTTTGAACCAGGGATCTGACTCCAGTGATCCCATGTTGACCCTGTGGAATAATCAACTCCTATGGTCTCTCTGAGCAGAAATGGAAATGACCCCACTACAGTCCTTGCTGCCTTTCTCAGTGAAGATGTTCCTGTAACACTCACCTGTCTCTAGCAGACCTGACTGATTGCAGCCTCATTGAACTTGGTGGCTTTTCTGAGGGGCCCAGGCAACCTGCTCCAAGACTCCAGGGCATAGAGGAATAAACTGTCCATAGGAGCAGGATTCCAAATGGACTGGATGTAAGTCACCAAGGTCAGAGTCAGCCCTGGACCAGTCCTTCCTCTGTGGTTTCAGGACCACATGGAGGCCCAAATGGCCTTCCTATGAAAATTCAGCCACAAAAGAACCATAGCACAGAATCAGAGGTGTGTTTAACATTATACAAGTCACTGGTATCTCATGGACCATGGGCCAAGGTAACCCAAAGATATATTTTGTCTGGCTTTCCTACCATGTTTTAAAGTTAATTAACAAGCATTTAAAATTAGAAGATTACACAGAAATACCTGAATTTTAAGCTTTTCCCCCAAAATCTGAAGATCTGTCTGCACTAACATTGTATGTACTCTGTAGTTCACTACAGTGCTGGCCTTCCCATCCTGTGTTACTCTCCGTACCCTACTGCATGGCCCATCTCCCTCACAGAAATGCAAATAATACTCACTAAAGCAGTAACTATTGAGTCTAATTAGTCACATCCCAGTGGAGATAACTGTTTCCAAGACCTGGTTAAGTTAGGGTGAGGGTAGGAGAGAAAGTGGGGCACCCCCCAGACAAGGCATTAGGCCATACCAGAGCAGAGGAGATTTTGAAAGGAGAAATCCTGAAGACCCCAAAATGAGAAATCGCTGTTCCAACAGCCATCATGGATGTGCAACACCTGCTCCTGAGGAGCTCATCCTTTCATTTAACTCAGCAAACACCAAGCTTTTATTAGCATCCTGGGCTCCTTTCCCCGCGCCTCCTTCTGGAAGCGCCTTGGGTGATCCCCAGCAGCAAACCCTGCAGATAATTAGGGGACTGCCGACTCAAGCTATGAGTGAGCCCAAAGGAATGGGTCTGGCTTCCAACCAGGACAGAGCTAGGCCCAGGAGAGGAGCTGAATGAAGACAAGGACCAAGTGCTTAACTGGGGTCTGGGCAGCCAGGAGCTGAAGCACAATCTCATTCACCAAGATGGTGAGCAGATGTGTTCTCTGAAATGTGGGCCACATGAGAGAGAGCCATTTTCATCAAATTTGGAGGCTGTTCCTGCCAAAGCACTTTATTGTGCAGGCAAAGAGGGGAAGAGGTTTTGTATGGAGATGTGGAAATGGATGAGATGGCCTAGGACAGATGATCTGATGAACCTCGGGGCCTCCTCAGCCTGCTCAGCATGCCCATCTGGGAGGATTTCAGCTCTGAATATTAGAACTCATACTTTTTTAGCATCAGCCCATGTGACAAGTTTGTCAACAGAGCCCTGGATGTATACAATGGAGTAGAGAGCAGGGTAGACATGATGAAGTGCTTTTAGGGCTTTTAGAGAAACAGGAAGTTCAGTAATCAGAGGAAAACCTGTTTGACTTCTTTCAAAACCAGTGGATGTGGATAATATGTCAGCGTCAGGATTGTCACAACTGCTGGGCCTTTCGAAAATGTGAAAAAGAAGCAGGAGATGGGGAGGAGAGATCCCTGTGGGAGTTGCCAGGCTGGATCAGGGACATACTCTACTCAGAGAGCCTCCCCTAACCTTCCCCATCATCAGGAGCTCCTGAAATCCCTCCTGAAACCCAACACTCCATCTTGCCACCATCATCTGCTTTGCATCCAATGGGACTAATCTCATTGTGTCCTTGTCCCTGTTTATATCAGTCCTGAAATCCCCCTGGCTCCCAGGTCACCTCATCTCCAGGTCTCTAATCCCATGAGGCCCTGTCTTTCCCCTATTCTGTGGCCTTTTCCCACCCTTCCCTGAACTCTTCCTCCATGACCTCTGGAATTCATAATCCACCATTAGCAAAATCTCCTTTATTCTCAACCCATTCTCTGAGCATCCTCTACTTCTTGCCCTGCAGGATACCTGGCTCTCCCCTGAGTTCACTTGCTTTGATTCATAAGCAGAGTCTCCCAAAGCCTTTAATATGCTTATACAGGATATGTGGCAAAGTCAAGAGGTGGAAATCAGATTTCCCAAGTCTTTGGCCACAGAACTCTTTCTATCATGGAACATCTACTCTGGTGTTCCATGAAACACAAGTAGGGGCTAGTGAACCACTGAAGATTTTTGAACTGGAAAGCAACACCTGGGGGAAAACAAAGTTTTAGAAAATTGATCTTATGGTAGAATGTCAGGTGAACAGAAGAGGTAAGAAGAGCTTGGATTCAGACAATACAATTAGATGACTGAATGAAGACAAGAGAGGTGGGGGTGATTGGATTATACTGGAGCAGAAAATGGAGAGCAAAACATTTATTGTATGCAATCTTCCGTTGGACTCTGGGAGACACAGAAGTGTCTGGGTTGCTGGGTCTTGAAAGTGTTTGAATGAGCATTAATCAGGATTTGATTGCAAGGGACAGAAATCAGTCTGGATCAGCTTAAGCAAAAGGGTAGTGTTCTTAAGGAAACAGGGATGCTTCACCAAGAACTGGATCCGTGTACTGGAAAGCTGGCAAAAATTCCTTATCTATTTAGTCTCAGCTTCTCTGCATGTCTGCTTCATATTCTTCATATTCTCTCTCTCTCTCTCTTCTCTTCCCTTTCCCCTCTTTCTCCCCTCCTACTCTCATCTGTGGAAGAAAATGGCTTCCCTACAGTTCCCAAGTTTGCTGTCACAGTTCCAGACACATCAGAAACAGACTCTCCATCTCTCCTTCCCAGTTTCAGATTTCCAGTAGAAAGAATCTTGTTGACCCAGCCTAGGACCCATTCCGCTGTGACCAGGGGAATGGGTTTTAAAATAGAAACATGGCTGCAGGGGACTTACCTTGTAAATAAGTGTGGAGGCCACTTACCAGAAAAAGGTGTCAGCAATGGAGTGAAATCATGACCTTTAATTGAAAGTATGCTTCTGGAAGAGTTAAGCAGGAAGCTACTGTTAAATGGATGGATGACTGTGAGCTTTATGGCAACTTCATTAGAGAGTTTCTATGCTTGTCCCTTCCCAAACTCCTTTATTTTCCAAGTCCTGGAAGAATGTATGGATAAGGAAAGCAGAATATACAATGGTTAAGTGCACATGTCTGGGTTAGATTGCTGTTTTTTGGATCTTGGCCTTGAAGACTTGAGCAAATTATGTAACCTGCCTGAGCCTTGGGTTTCTCACCTGTAAAATGGGTATCATGAAGATTAAATAAAGTAATATGTGTAAAGTACTTAGCACAATGTGCTCAATGTCATTTTTTAATGAAAATTAACTGATGAGGCTGAAATTTACATCTGCAGATCCTACTTGTTAGCACATTTATTCCAGTGGTGATTCAAATTCTTCTGCAGAAATGGACTTGAAAGACAGAAAATTGCTCTTGCAATCATTTAATAAGGAATTCTAGACAATATCTTCAATAAACTAAACAAAAGAAAGATGAATTCACAGGTGGGCTAGTGGTCAGCTTGGTTCTCCAGATATCCCCACAAACGTGCCCTCTTGAAC